CAGGAGAATATGATATGCGAGGAGGTGGCACGATGGAATTTTGGTTTAAAATTTGGAGCAATTACTGAGGATCGGAATGGCGTGATTTGCAAGTAAGTAAATACGCAAATACATCTTTTTATTCATATTTATTTTCAAGCATTTTTGTACATCAAATGTCTTAATATATTTTTTTAATAGAGAGGTACATTATTAACACTTAATTCTAGGACGGAATTGTCATAATAACATGTACATATTAGTGTGCGCTGCAGAACAGGATCTTGTAGAAGGCTAATAAAGGGCTGTTGAGAAAATAAAGATAATGTACTAATTAATTTGCTTCGAAAAAGTTGAAGAAAACTGTAGGTTATGGAAGAAAATGTGATGTATACATAAATCGGACGATTACTTTCTTAGGCTGTATTTAATGTCGTTCATATTAGGCTATTTTGACAGGTAATTGCCTAATCTGAACGCCCCCTTTATGCGGGCCCAGCGCAGCGCCATCTAGCAGTGATCCGCGGAACTACAATTGAAACATCGCTGATGATATATTACCGTTGAACTGTAATCAATAAATTACCGGCGCTGTGAAAAATCGGTCGGTAAATATTTCAGTGCCATCTAGCGGATGGCGTTTTTACCCTGTTCCTGGTAACAGGATCGCAGAAAAGCAAGGAGGTATATGAAGTATCAGGAGTCTTTCGGCGTCATCACCGCGCATGCGCATCACAGTTCGCGCCGCAACATGGCGCCCTCTACAACACATAATCATTAATTAATTATTCGTTTTCTATGTATAATTTCTACACTTTAATGATTCAAAAATGAAGCTCAATTCAACTTCACCTTCCTTGTATAAAATTCATTAATAAATTCACGTTGTAATATTATTAATACAATCCCATACTAATGATTATTAATAACTAATTACATTCGAGTAATATTTTAACAAATAATGTATAAGAAAATAGATTACGAATTGTAGATCATTCTCCAGTCATAAAAGTACACCAATTGTGCATCGTAAAAGAGTAATTAATTTTTTTCTGTCAATAGTTTCACTTGTACCATGAGACGCCATGTTGGGAGGGGCGTCAGCCATGTTGGAGAGGGGCGTGAACCATGTTGAAAGCGACGTCAGCCATGTTGGAGAGGGGCGTCAACCATGTTGTGAAGCGGCGTCAGCCATGTTGAATTTACCTGCGGCGCGCATGCGCGCTGGTCGCGCGGTACGCCCCCTGTTACTCCGAATACCTCCTCGCTTTCCTGCGATCCTACTACCAGAAGCAGCTGAAAAACACCGTCCGCTAGATGGCGCTGATCGCATTTTATTTTTTACCGATTGATCTTCCACGAACGATAGATATGCACAGTACATTTCTCGATATTCCGTAGAAACTTTACAAACTTTACAAAGAAATAGTACAAAGCAGTACTGTCATACCAAAGCAATCAAATTAGAATAAAAATAATTGAGGAGAGAAGAAGAGCAGCAACGGAGAAGTGTTCAGTCAGGTAGTGGAAAGTGTTCCGAGTGTATTCGTAGCGAAAAGGATTGTTTTGCAACGATAACTCTCTGTTCCAATACTAATCTCTTTAAAGTGAGGAAAGACACTCTAAGCTGGGATTTCAGAACTTTTAAGCTCCGAAACGTATTTCCGAAAATAATATTCTGCAACTTTCTCTCTTTTATTATACAATTTTTCGATGTAGATTTGTAAAAATTTTATGTTCTAAAATTATAATATTGCAAAGTCAAGTCAGAAAAAATTCTAACTTTTTAAAATGTCGAACTCCTATACTTTCAATACAAAAATTCCAAAGGTGTCACAGAAAGTTTCTAAATTTCCAGAGAGCTCCAAAATAAAAAAATTCCAAAAATTGCAGGATCTTAAGTTCTCAAAGTTCTAAAGTTTCAAAGTCCTAAAATATCAAACTTCTTAAAATATCAAACTCCTAAATTTTCAATAGAAAAATTCCAAAAGTGTCACAGAAAGTTTCTAAATTTCCAAAAATGTTTCAAAATAAAAAAATTCCAGAAAATGCAGAATCTTAAGTTCTGAAAGTTCTAAAGTCTCAAAGTCCTAAAATATCAAACTTCTTAAAATATCAAACTCCTAAATTTTCAATATAAAAATTCCAAAAGTGTCAGAAAGTTTCTAAATTTCCAGAAAAGCTCCAAATTAAAAAAATTCCAAAAATTGCAAAATCTTAAATTCAAACAAAGTTCTAAAGTCTCAAAGACCTAAAATATCAAACTCCTAATTTTTCAATACAAAAATTCCAAAACTATCACAGAAAGTTGCTAAATTTTCAAAAGAACTCCAAATTAAAGAAATTCCAGAAATTGCAAAATCTTAAGTTCAATAAAAGTTCTAAAGTCTCAAAGTCCTAAAATATCAAACTCCTAAATTTTCAATATAAAAATTCCAAAAGTCAGAAAGTTTCTAAATGTCCAGAAAAGATTGAAATTAAAAAAATTCCAAAAATTGCAAAATCTTAAGTTCAATCAAAGTTCTAAAGTCTCAAAGTCCTAAAATCCCAAAGTTCCTAAATTTTTCATTTAAAAAATTTCCAAGTTCTGAAAAGACAATGTTTCACCCCTAATTCCTGGATATCTATCTACAGGCTCTCATATTGTACAACTGTTAAATATAAGAATAATAAATATAAATTTTACAAAATATTTGTTTATAATTTTCAAATGCAGATATTCTCCCCCATAAATTCCAGTATAAACTATATTTATTCCCAGTATTAATATAAATTTCAATATTAGTTAATGTTCTAATAAATGTTCAATAAAAAAATTTTTCGTCGAACCCGACTTTCATATACAAATATTAATTTCATAAAATTGCATGATGTTCTGACATTTAAAATAGATATTTTCCATCGTAAATACTAATATAAACAATATTTAATTCCAATGTAAACAATACTTGTTTCCACATGAAACGTAAATTAATATTGTAACAGATTTTCGATAAAAATCTTCCAAATTTCAGTAAAAGTCTCTCTTTTTACAAATTTCAATTTCTGTTCTTCAAAAAATTTACTAAGCAAGTTTTTTATTCTCTAAAATTTGATAACGAGGTACAAAATGTTATGAAAGTTTGTTTGTTGTTTCTTTCTACAATATTACATACAAATTTTGTAACAAATTCACGAATAATCTCATACCTATCATACCTTAATATAGTGATTAGGATATCATTATATTAAGGTATGATTTCCTAATTTTAGTTAAGATAAAAATATTTCTTGGTCCCTGTTTTTAAAAGTTTCAATCTTCCTCGATTCTCAAAAAATTTGCTTCCTCATTCAAGTATAATTTCCTAATTTCAATAAAGACAAAAATATTCGTCCTCGTCTTTAAAAATTTCAATTCTCATTTCTCAACCAATTTATTAATCCCCTTATTAAAGTATGATATCCTAATTTTAGCGAAGAAAATATTTGGCAGTCCCTGTTAGAAATTTCAATCCTGCTCAATTCTCTAAAAATTTGTTTCCTCATTGAAGTATGCTTTCCTAATAAATCGCATTCCTAATAGTAAATATTTGTCCTCGTCTTTAAAAATTTCAATCCTGCTCGGTTCTCATAAAATTTGTTTTCTCATTGAAATAAGATAACTTCAATTCCCAGCTGAGTAGCCCAATTTCAGAAAAAATAAAAATAATTGCCCCCACTTTTTTAAATTTTATTTCTCGTTTGAAACAAATTTTGAACCCCGTATGATCGGTTCAGTAATGATTTCTCAATTTTAGAAGATAGGAATATAGTAATATTGAAGATAGGAATATAAAGTTGGGCGAAAGGGTAAAACGAAATTGCAAGATCCGTTTTTTGGCGGGAAGAAATCGGTACGGTAGCAGAAATGCGTATGCGGGAGTCTGTCTCCGAACAGGGGCGGAGTCCCTGCCCTTCGTCAATAAGAGCATGCTCCCTCGTACCTCTCTATTTCGGTTTTCCGCTCCCCGCTCGTGCTCTCTGCTCTTCCTACCGCCCTTCATCCTCCTCCACGCTCTCTTCTCCCGTACAATCATCCAGCCACCTCCTCGACTCTATTCTCTTCCTTCTCTTTCCCCGGGATCGTTCCCCCGTCAGCATCCTCCTCCGTTTCTTCACCTTCATCCTTTCCACTCGATCTCCTCGTCTCGCAGTCACGTCCCCGGCTCGCAAACTCTTTTTTTCCCCTGGACGTCCAAATATACCCGCGTACGCGTAACCGAGGAACGCTGGACGTCGCGACGCCTGGCTGGCTGTACCAGCCTCGAATATGCGCCCAAGGTGAATCCTGATGAACGTATCATCGATCGGTGGTTGCTGAACCAGCCGGTGTGCTCCGGTCCACGCGTGTACGCGCAAAGAGCTGCTGCTGCTGTTTCCACGAACGAGAGATCCTCCGATCGCTGATTTTCACCCGAATCGTCCTAAAGATAGTCCCCGGGTCGAGGAGACAAAGAGACCGTGGAAAAAGAGCGCGAGAGAGCCGCGAGGGAGAGGGAGAGACAGGGAGGTCTGAGTTTTATCGATTGTCGTCGTGGGACGAGATACGTGCCGGATTTCAGATCTCGCGCTGCGACAGAATCAATTCTCGTGCGGTCCATCCACGGGGTGCATTCGGATCATTCGAAGGGATGACTTCGGCATCGGTGACCGGTGATCTCAGCTGATGGTGGTGGTACGTTGCTCGAAGCAGGGTGGTCCGTCGTTGGGGTGACAGATGCGAGAGGTCGTCGCGGAGAAAGTGTGTGATCTCTCGTGTTACGTGCGCTCTGTTTTCGTGCCAATCGAACGACAGTTTTCTAGATGTACATGGTGAGTATACTGTTCGTGTTTCCGAATCGATTTGAGAGATGTGGTGTATCGTCAGATTACTGCGTAATAGGGTAGACGTTGTCTCGAGGAGCGGTTAATTAGGTGATGTTTATCTAGTGTTGATCGAGTGTAGAGGATAATGAGAGGTACTGCTTCTGAATCGTACGGGATTTACAGATTTCAGGATTACGAAGGCGACCTATTTTTTCGGAGACGCAGAAAGAAGGAGGTAATCGATATTTATTTCGAATGATCGCCACGATTCGCGTAATTAGCGACTGGAACTGTTTTTTACGGAAGAAATGTTAGTTGGATGCAGAAATACTGTCATATTGTGGGTCTAAATGAAACTTGTGTGCTAAACGTTTAGTAATCGTCGAATTTATTAAATACCTTATGTACATAAGAGATGTACATAAGAGATAACAGATATGTAACAGATCGACAAGTATTTTATTGTGTGTTACTCAAGTTACTTCAAATATTTGCCAACGTGTGAAATTGCATAGTTTAAGAAACCTTGTATCTTGAATTTTGTATGATATTTCATCGTTGAGTATTTGAACGTATTCTGTTACGTTTGACCAAATTATTTGTTAATTTTTGATAATGTAATTGTCTTAAGATAGTCATTATGTGACACGCAATGAAGCAAAAAGAAATGTAGAGAATTAAATTTGTGACATCTTAATTTTTTATTACAAATTGCATGCTTTTCCATTTGAAAAAATAAATGTTTTTAACGTTAGTTATTCTTGATTTGTATGGAGATACATTTTAATACAAATATTCAGTGTCAATTGTAAAAAAATTAATTTGTTTACGATGTGATCGATTTCGACAAATGAAACTTTGTTAAGAATGATATTTATTGATTAAAATGTTCTCGAAAATATATATTTTTACAGCCACGAGGCACTTTTATTACGAGCAATAAAATTTTCTAATTTAATAAAGTAATGTTAATTAAAAGTAACTGCGATCAAATTTTGAGCATCATTGTTGTATAAATTCTATTTTGTCAAACTTTCATAAAACTGAGCTGAATTTTTTATATTGTAAAATTATCAACTTTATGTGCAAGAATTTAATAATTTTTCTTAGTGTCAATATTGAAAATATTAATGTTCATTATAAATTTTATATTTTAACTCTTCATTGCCTTCTGTTATAAATAAAGTAATATAGTACACGATTGTTGCATCTTTTTGTACATAAGTAAATTGCAAATTTTATAGTCAAAGAAATTGTCAAAAACTTCTCGTCTCTTTTGTAATTATTCGTTTTTGTAGCTTCATATAATATTGCAAATTTTTAATGGCAATACTAAATTTTTAATGTATTTTCTTTTAATAATTTTTGTTAGTCAGTATTTACTTATTAAAAAATGTTTGTCTATTCTCATCTATTTAGTATTTCTACTTGTACAAATTTAAAAATCAATTTTTCTTTCAAATTGAAAAAAATTATGTAAGAAAGAATCAAATTTACATTTTGCAGAGTTCAAAAACCTTTAAAATTGACCATTAAATGTACAACGATTTTAGAATAACATGTACTCAATTGTCTGATTAATGTTCTTACATTTTTAAATGAATTTCTGTCATTTAAAACGTATCACAGAGCTGAAATTGAATACAAATTGATTATTGGGGTCATTTGATAATTGAGTCACGTCGATATTGGCAAGTACCAAATTCGTTGCCGATCGATCGGTTTAATCACCAAAATACATTCGTTTGTCAAGTCTTTCAGATTGCCGGAAATCTAAAAAACTATCAATTATTTCTGAAATTCTCAATTATTTCTGAATAAACTTTTCTAATTCCACTGCAAAACCCTCTTTAATTCATAAAATAAGACAATTAGAATTCGTAAAATATAATTATACTTTCTTCTGAATATAATAGAAAATGATTGTACAATCAGAGCGCGAGGATTACGCATACGCAGACGCGAGAGCGGCAGCTTCGGATAACGCGTAGTTATCCAACGCGTAGTAATGCAACGCGTGGTAATCCTACGAGTAGTAATCCAACGCGTGGTAACACAACGCGTAGTAATACAGCGTGTGGATATCCAACGCGTAGTAATCTAGCGCATGCATATTCAACGCGTAATAAGGCAACGCGAGGTAATTCTAAGCGTAGGAATCTAATGCGTACTAATACAACGCGTAGTAATACAGCGTGTAGATATCCAACGCGTAGTAATCTAGCGCGTGCATATTCAACGCGTAGTAATTCAACGCGTAATAAGGCAACGCGAGGTAATTCTAAGCGTAGGAATCTAATGCGT